CCTGTAAGATGCCCTGTAGAGGTGGTTTGTGGGAAGCAAATTCCCTCAGCTTTTGCTTGTCTGGGAATTGTTTAATCCCACCATAATATTTAAATGATAGTTGTGCTGGATACAGTATCCTTGGTTCAAGGCCCTTCTGTTTCATTGCATTAAATATATCATGCCATTCTCTTCTGGCCTGTAGGGTTTCTGTTGAGAAGTCTGATGATAGCCTGATGGGTTTTCCTTTATAGGTGACCTTTTTCTTCTCTCTGGCTGCCTTTAAAACTCTGTCCTTGTCCTTGATCTTTGCCATTTTAATTATTATGTGTTTTGGTGTTGTCCTCCTTGGGTCCTTTCTATTGGGAGTTCTGTGTACTTCCGTGGTCTGATCAATTATTTCCTCCCCCAGTTTGGGGAAGTTCTCAGCAATTATTTCTTCAAAGACACTTTCTGTCCCTTTTCGTCTCTCTTCTTCTTCTGGTACCCCTATAATGCAGATATTGTTCCTTTTGGATTGGTCACACAGTTCTCTTAATATTGTTTCATTCCTGGAGATCCTTTTATCTCTCTCTGCTTCAGCTTCTATGTGTTCCTGTTCTCTAGTTTCTATTCCATCAATGGCCTCTTGCATCTTATCCATTCTGCTTATAAATGCTTCCAAAGATCGTTTCACCTCTGTAATCTCCCTCCAGACATCATCCCTTAGCTCTTGTATATTTCTCTGTAGCTCTGTCAGCATGTTTATGATTTTCATTTTGAATTCTTTTTCAGGGAGACTGGTTATGTCTATCTCCTTCTCAGGTGTTGACTCTGTGATCTTTGTCTGCCTCAAGTTCTGCCTTTTCATGGTGATAGAGATAGTTTGTGGAGGTGGCACAAGTGATAGCTGGGAGAATGTCCCTTCTTGTTGGTTTGTGGCCTTCCTCTCCTGGGAGAACAGCAACCTCTAGTGGCTTGTGCTGGGAAGCTACATGCAGACAGGGCTTCTGATTCTTGCCTGGCCACTATGGAGTTTATCTCTTCTGTGGCTGTGGTCGTGGCATGCCTCAGGCTGCTACTCTGATATGGTGAAGCCACGTTGGAGGAGAAACGGCCAGGAGCCTGTTTATCTCCATGAGGGGCCTCTGAACTGCTCTGCAATCCAGGGAGTTAGGGTGCCAGGAGTTCCCTGGGATTCCCTGTTGCTCAGTTAAGTGTCCCGGGATGCTTCCATCCAGCTGTGGGGTCCCTGTCCCTTTAAGACTTCCAAAAAGCACTCACTTTTCTTTGTCCCCAGGGTGCCATCTGTGGGAACCCCCTCACAGGTCTTACTGTCCTGTTTCCCTAGTTTTCAGCACCCCATGCACGCACTGTGTCTGCACTCTGGTGCGGATGGCTAGAGCTGGCTATTTAGCAGTTCTGGGCTCCCTCTCCCTCCCTGCTCTGACTCCTCTCCTCCTGCCAGGAGCTGAGGTGAGGGGCGCTTGGGTCCCTCTGGGCTGGCGCTTGTATCTTACCCCCTTTGCAAGGCGCTAGGTTCTCGCAGGTATGGTTGTAGTCTGGCTGTTGTCCTGTGTCCTCTGGTCACTCTTTTAGGAAGAGTTGTCTTTGTTGTATTTTCAAAAATATATGTGGTTTTTGGGAAGAGATTTCCACTGCTCTACTCATGCCACCATCTTGGCTCCAACCTTACCATTTTTATTCAACATAGTTACTAGATATCATAGCCCCCAGAATCAGCCAAAACAGAAAGAAAGCATGTAAATTGTCAAGGAAGAAGTTATACTGTCACTATTTGCAGATGATATGCATAGAAAATCCTAAGGACTCCATTAAAAACATATTCAAACTAATAACTGGATTCAGCAAAGTTGCAGTACACAAAATTAATACACAGATCTGTGTAGTATTCCTATATACTAACAATGTGCTAGCAGAAAGAGAAATCAGGGAAAATTGCATCAGAAGGAATAAAATACCTAGGAATAAACCTAACCAAAAGACTTGTACTCCAAAAACAATAAGACACTAATGAGAGAAATTAAAGACACCAATAAATGGAAATCTATCCCAGGCTCATGGATAGGAAGAATTAATATTGTCAAAATGGCCATCCTGCCCAAAGCAATTTACAGATTCAGTGCAATCCCTATCAAAATACCAACAGCATTTTCCAATGAACTAGAACAAATAGTTCTAAAATTCGTATGGAATCACAAAAAACTCAAATAGGCAAAGCCATCCTGAGAAAAAAGAACAGAACTGGATGTATTATGCTCCCAGACTTCAAGCTATACTACAAAGGTACAGTAATCACAATATTATGGTATTGGCACCGGAACAGACCCATAGACCAATGGAACAGGATAGACAGCCCAGATATAAACCCACACATATATGTCAATTAACATATGATAAAGGAGCCATGAAGACACAATGGAGAAAAGACAGCCCCTTCAATAACTGGTGTTGGGAAAATTGGATAGCAACATGCAAGATAAGGAAACTAGATTACTGTCTAACTCCATACACAATAGTATGCACAAAATAAACTTGAAGTGGATTGAAGACCTAAATGTAAGACATGAAACCATAAAACTCTAAGAAGAAAACATATTCAAAAATCTCCTGAACATATGTATGAGCAATTTTTTTCTGGGCACATCTCCCTAGCAAGGGAAACAAAACAAAAAAATAAACAAGTGTGACTACATTAAACTAAAAATCTTATGTGCAGCAAAGGCATCATCAGCAGAACAAAAGTTAGCCTATTGTATGGAAGAATATATTTGTAAATGATTTATCCAATAAAGGTTAACTTCCAAAACATATAAAGAACTCATAGCCTCAACACCAAAAAAATAAATAACACGATTAAAAAATGGGTGGAGGGCCTGAACATACAGTTTTACAAAGAAATACAGATGGCCAACAGGCACATGAAAAGATGCTCCACATCACTAATTATCAGGAAAATGAAACAATAAGACACTAATGAGAGAAATTAAAGACACCAATAAATGGAAATCTATCCCAGGCTCATGGATAGGAAGAATTAATATTGTCAAAATGGCCATCCTGCCCAAAGCAATTTACAGATTCAGTGCAATCCCTATCAAAATACCAACAGCATTTTCCAATGAACTAGAACAAATAGTTCTAAAATTCGTATGGAATCACAAAAAACTCAAATAGGCAAAGCCATCCTGAGAAAAAAGAACAGAACTGGATGTATTATGCTCCCAGACTTCAAGCTATACTACAAAGGTACAGTAATCACAATATTATGGTATTGGCACCGGAACAGACCCATAGACCAATGGAACAGGATAGACAGCCCAGATATAAACCCACACATATATGTCAATTAACATATGATAAAGGAGCCATGAAGACACAATGGAGAAAAGACAGCCCCTTCAATAACTGGTGTTGGGAAAATTGGATAGCAACATGCAAGATAAGGAAACTAGATTACTGTCTAACTCCATACACAATAGTATGCACAAAATAAACTTGAAGTGGATTGAAGACCTAAATGTAAGACATGAAACCATAAAACTCTAAGAAGAAAACATATTCAAAAATCTCCTGAACATATGTATGAGCAATTTTTTTCTGGGCACATCTCCCTAGCAAGGGAAACAAAACAAAAAAATAAACAAGTGTGACTACATTAAACTAAAAATCTTATGTGCAGCAAAGGCATCATCAGCAGAACAAAAGTTAGCCTATTGTATGGAAGAATATATTTGTAAATGATTTATCCAATAAAGGTTAACTTCCAAAACATATAAAGAACTCATAGCCTCAACACCAAAAAAATAAATAACACGATTAAAAAATGGGTGGAGGGCCTGAACATACAGTTTTACAAAGAAATACAGATGGCCAACAGGCACATGAAAAGATGCTCCACATCACTAATTATCAGGAAAATGCAAATCAAAACCATGATGAGCTCTCACATCACACCAGCTAGAATGGCCACTATCCAAAAGACAAAAAATAGCAAGTGTTGGTAAGGATGTGGAGAAAAGGGAACTCTCCTACACTGTTGGTGGGAATGTACATTGGTGCAGCTACTTTGGAAAACAGTATGGAGATTCCTCAAAAAAGTAAAAAATGGGCAATACCCTTTGAAATTTATCCAAAGAAAACAAAATCCCTGATTCTAAAAGATATATGCACCCCTATGTTTTTCACCATTTTATTTACAAGATATGGAAGCAACCAAAGTGCCCATCAATAGACTAATGGATAAAGAAGAGGTAGTACATATACACAATGACATATAACTCAGCCATAAAAAAAAGAGAGAAATCATGCCATTTGCGACAACATGGGTGGACCTAGCAGGTATTTTTCTAAGTGAAATAAGCTAGACAGAGTTAGACAAATACCTTATGATTTCACTTATGTGGAATATAAAAACGAAACAAAACAAAGTGAATAAAATAGTATAGACACTGAGGAGTGATTGGTGTTTACCAATTGGGAAAGGGATTGTGATGGGTGGGTGGGGAGTGTAAAGGAGATAAAGGGCACAAAAAACTCTCAGTCGTAAGTTGTTCATGAGGATGGTAGTGCAGCATGAAGAATATAGCCAGTGATTCTGTAACATCTTTCTATGTTGACAGATAGTAACCGTGCTAGTTGGGGTGAGCATTTAATGTTGGGAACCGTGCCCAACCAGCCAGAGAAGTGAGTCATCTCTGACCTCTCACAAGCTGCAACTGCACTCAAGGCCGTTCCTCCATTCCCAGAAAAGTCCTGTGTTTTCAGAGTGTACCCAGAATCCACCTAACAGAGCTTCCTTATGCTTTGATGTAGAATCTCACCCCTGGAGAGACTGGAGGGTATATGAAAGGTATGAGAAGAGGCGAGGGGGAGAAAGAAGTAGAGGCAGAGAAAAGTTAGAGATAGATTAGAGCTTGCTTGCTTGCTTATGCTGTAATGCTGAATAAATAAAGACCTTGAGTGGACTATCAGTCCCAGCCTGCCTTTTGTCCTAATACTCGCGCTGCTGGACAGCACAAGTGGTGGCCCATACTGGGAGGACACTCCTTCATCGAGGACAAAAACAGCGGATCAGCTGAGGACCCCCGGGAGAAAAAGCTTCGGCTGAAGTGAAAGGTAAGCGGGGAAAACAGAATTACCCACTAAACTGGGAAGGAATTACCCACTAAACTGGGAAGGAGTCGCCCATTAAATTGGAGGAAAAGCAGTAGAACTCAAGCTCTGAGAAATTCATGGGCTGTTGGGGAAAATAGCCCTCGGAAGAGGCAGTGCGCAGACAATTTATATCTGTGCAAGCTCTGAGAGAATTTTCATCCTAGCAGGCTTTCTTTGCCTTATTGTTCTGCTAATTGTCCTTGTCATATATTATTGCTAAGCTGCTTTCTATTTTTCATAAGTTACAAAATGGGATCAGATCTGTCTAAACATCAGGCCAAAAACAGCTTGAAACAGCTGCTTAAAGCAGCAGGAACTGGAATAAAAGATGAAACAGCAAAGAAGTATATCAATGCCTTAGGAGAGATAAGTCCTTGGTTACTGACAGTGGGAAGTTTTGACAAAGAAGACTGGATAATGTCCTTTCCCTTTGGGCCTTAGTTAAAGATTGCCTCTCCTCCCCCAAAGTTGTGATTCAAGAGCACATACAAGACTGTGCTAAGACAGGGGAAATTCAAGAAAAAGAATCACAGGCTGGAGACGATTTAGTAGAGACTTCATCACAGACAGAAAAGGCAGCAAGGGGCCCGCTGAACGCAGGAAAGGAGGAGGAGATAAAAAAGGGGGGATGGGTTCAAGAAAAGTAGGAAAAAGGCATCCTGTCACTCATCAGACTCAGATACAGGGAGCTCCGATAATGCAGAAGGGCCTGAGAGAACTAGTCGGGGAGAAGTGAAAGTAAGCAAGGAAAAGTTCAGAAATAGAGATGAGCCTATGAAAAGATCATTTAAGGAAAGGCCCGTGGAGAATATGCCTCCTCCTAGATACACCTGTCAGATTTTGCCCTCCTCACCGCCCTTTGATTGTGAGAGGATTTAATTGAGTCCTTAAAAGCTCAAGTCATTGCCTCCCAGGAGTAGATCCAGCAACTCACTAATCTGCTTGGAAAATGGTGTAGAGTAACATGGGAGCCAGAAACAGCTGAGTCCTATTTGCACAGATACTTAAGTATATGCTGCAGACACGTGGCTCAAAAGTAAGACAACTAACAAAATTTTTAGAATTTATAGAACAAGTATGTCCTTGGTTCCCCGAAGAAGGTATCTCATTTAAAAGATGCTGTTTTTCACAGCTTAGGAGGTAGTCCTGCAGCTAACACGATGTAAATAGAACCTGAAAAATAATCAAGCTACACCCTCAAATCAACATGTAAATAGCTCTATTCTATTAACTCCTTTCCTTAGAGGCAGTCATCCTAGAGCTAGGCATTTCCTTGTCTGCAGCCCCAAGGAAGCGAAACAAGCTTGTAACCCAAATCAAGGCTCTAGCAGCGAAAAGTCACACAGTGCCTGCACTTATCAGACAGTCAGGGGCCTCTCAAGGAATGACTAAAGCTCGGGCAGGAAAAACTAGGAAAACTAACTGGAAGTAATTCAATCCCTATACTCTAAAAAAGAAGTGTCTTGTCTTCTGCACACAAACCTAGCCTCAGTACAAACTCTCTTATTAGAGAGGCTTGGCCCCTGAAAGAAGCATGCAATATAATGTTATGCAGCTAAATATATTTTGCCTCAAGGAAAGAAAATAGTCAAAAGTCCCGTGAACTACTACAATATAGAACTAGTTTTCTAAATTCTTTCAGTGAAAATCTATTCTACTTACTAAGTTCATCATTATCTTTGAAAATTGGAAAGTTTTAAACTAGAGTCCCTGAGATAGAAGAAATTTATATTTTACTATACAGCCTGGCTTTAAATAACTCATGCTAAAATTGTACTTGCCTTTTATTTCCAGCCCCCTGGACTGGGGATGTATAAACCTTGACCCAGTAATGTAAACTGCTTGCCCTTAGAGTGTATTCTTGAAAACTGAAGTACTTTTAATCAAATAAACTAAGAAGAAAGAAGGCAATTGAATATTAGAAACTCAAATCTTTGTGTCAGTTTGTCTGTGTATATGTTTTTATATAAAAAGTGTTGCTAACTCTAGTCATTATGTCTCAGTCTGTATGTTTGTGTGTCTAAGTGTGTAAATAAAAAATATTTTCTACCTCTGGAGGGTATTAATAAAACAGATTTAAAGACAAAGTGCTTGTGAAAATTGGGCATTCTAAAACTTCCAGAAAATCTCATAAAACATATTATGCATTAATAATAATTTAAGCTTAACTGATATGGACATGTCCTTATAGTTATTAACTGCCAAAATTTACTTTAAGTCATTTAAGTTGATGTTACCTGTTAAATATTTCAAGAAAATGCTTAAAGAAAAGCTTGACTTTGTCTAATGTTTGGTAAAAGTTTTATAAGTAATCTGGCATGGTTGCTAAAAATAAGTAAACAAGTGTAGCAAATAAACTTTTTAATAATATTACTGTATTAATGTATAACAGTGTATATATCTGCAAACAGCCTGAGAATTTTTGTGGTAACCAAAATTCTTAAAGTTCTGCTAAGTTATATAGACATATTTTGTACTCAATGAGAAATTGTGCTGCAAGGCACATTTCCAAAAATGATAAAATATGTTCATAAATGTATCAATCTGAAGAATGCTGGTGTAACAGTTTACCATAGCCTATTTTTCAGTGCTCACTGAAGGTTAAAGTATCAAATTGTTTTAAGTTCTAACGAAAACTACTTAATATAATAAGGAAAATATTTTGGTATGCTAAAGATGTGTGTTTTAATAAGAGAAAGTATAAAGAATGGAAATTCGTTTTGTTGAGGGTAAAAGAAGGTAATTGTTCTAAAGTACAGCTGTTTATTTAAAGGGGGAGAACACTGAATGTAAAAAGAAAGTTGTAGAAAGCTTGTGGAAAAGTTGATATAGTCATGCTATGTGAAATTAAAGCAAGTGAGTCTTGATATCAAGTACATAGCAAAATTAGAATTTTGTTTTCAGTTAAAAAGACAAAGTTTTCTTTAACTGTTAGTCTGCTCTTAATATTGAGAGATAGCAAAGGGTTCTCTAATTGTTTTATCAAAACAGTTTCTTATGCTTAAAGTCTCAATGAATTGTCTAAGTATTTAAGAATATGAGACCTTAATATTAAAAAGACTAAGCTAAGTGTTAACAACTATGTAACCTTCTGCATTTGCTTTTAAACTTCCTTATTATCATTCTGGTTAAATAATAAGTGTTATTTAATAACTGTAATTCTATTTAGGCAAGTGCCTTAAAAACTTTTGACAGCTTCCCAAGACCAAATTTAAAAAGGTATTTTTACCTTCCAATTAACTGATATTTTCCAGAGGGCCCCTGGAACATATCAGTAGAATTTCTTCTCCTCATCAAAGAAAATGACTAATTTGGCTTATTTACCTGATATATACTTACCTAAAAAGTGCTGTCGAAGGGAGTGATGCTCGATTTTATTACTGAATGTTTTATGTTACAGAGATATCCAAACTTCCATTCAACTATCTTACAGTAAGTTCTCATCAAATCTTTAGCCATTGTCATTTGTAAATCTTTTCTTGTTTATAATCACTGTTTAATTACTACTAAACTAGTAAAGAACTAGATTTCAGCAAAATGAGTACTAGTTACTTAAAAATAAGTAAACTAAAGAAAAATGATTTTGTAGCTTCTTGTTTCAAGTGTTGGTGATAAAATGTTTTAAGCTTTATCTCTTAAGCTGACTGACAATGCTCCGGTTTACCTCTCCTCTGTGTTACATACATTTTTTCAGCTATATAACATCACTCATAAAACAGGCATTTCATACAATTCTACAAGCCAAGTTCTCATTGAATATTGTCATCTTATTCTTAAACATTATTTATTAATACAAAGAGGGGGGATTACTCCCCAATATGATAAAATTAATTGCAAATTGACGATCAATGCATGCTTTACATATCCTTAATTTTGATCTTCTAAAAGGTGATAGATTATCAGCAGTAGAAACACATTTTTCTGATAATATTTCCTTTTCTGAAACAACAACAGTTCCTGTGTGGTAGTCTCCAATGGGTTCTTCATTATGGCATAAAGATCATATCAAGGTGTGGGGCAAGGGGTTTGCTTGTGTTGTTACAGAGGATCAATGCTTGATCTGGCCGCCCAGAAAATGAATTCAGATACGATATGAAGGAGAACTTCCAACATCAACATCCTCTGGAGGAGTCATTCTAGAAGGTAACCATCAAAAAAAACCTCAACATAAAGTCTGCATGTCAGACACAGAAAACTGAAGCCCACTAAATAATAATATCTTTTTTTATTTCCAATAATGGCACTTATGTATGTACATACTACAGAAGAAATATATAGACAAATGATAGAGGAAAACTTAGATGGAATGATATTGCTAATTAGTCTGTTAGAGATAGTGATCATTATGATATTTATAAAGCAGTTTTGTCCCGAGAAGATATTGGCAGTTATACTTGTGAAAAGTTTCAAAAAAGAACTCCTGTCATATTATATAAGAGTAATTAGGTGTATTTAAATATACCACTCATTCCAGAAAATAATTTTTTCTCACCTAACTTGTGGTTACAACAACTCGTGAGCCAAAAGTTGCACAGGTCATCTTTTTGTGTAGCAAGAAATTCCTCTATCAGTGAACTGTTGAAGAAAAATTTAATAGGCACAAGACTTTCTCTTACGGTGTTTACTAACATCTCAAGCATAAATGTCACTCTTCCCCCTAAAGTGCTTACTCTTGATGCCCAATTAAATTTACCTGTTAGTACTACTATAATTACTGATTGTGTATGTATTAATTGTACTCATGTAGCCTCTTACTGTAATTGTGCAATCATTGTAAAATGGTCTTCTAGATATAGGCTTTCAAATAGTTGAGTATTTTTGTGTAATACAAAACATATTAAGCCCTCTCTTCACACTATCAAAGTGTAAGTAGTGTGAGACACATTCTTCGTGCTCTAATAGACCACCTGAATATAAGCGCAAGAGGCTTCTCCGAGCTCTGTCATCTGATTGTCATGAAAACTTGAAACTTTCAGAGCCTGCCGCTGTCGCAGTTGCAGCTGCGTTCCTCCTGCCAGTTCCTGGACTTTTCGTTGGAATGCAGAAAGAGATATCTAAGCTAGCAAAACAACAAATTTGACTGCTTCTGTATTATCTGAACTAAACCAAGAACTGGGAAAATTGCGAGCTGCGGTGCTTCAGAGTCACGCTGCTGTGGACTGTCTGCTGTTAAAAGAGCATGTAGGATATGAACAGTTCAGAAGAATGTGCTGTTTCAATTTGTCTGATTTTTCTCAAACTACCCAAAATCAATTAGATGATATCCATCATATTGTCAATAAGTTTTTACAAATGCCTAAGCTATCTAACTAGTTTTCTCAATTTCATTAGATATAACTAGTGATTGTAAGTCTGCCTTTGTTGTGTATCTGTATTCCTATTGTTAATATTTGTATGCAATTTAACTAGTAGTTTGTTAAAACCTATATATATATATATTTAAGTTATGTCTGTCTTTTGACATGTTCGATCTCAGCCATGTAATGCATATTTCCCACAAAACTGGGATACCATATAATCCACAAGGCCAAGGCATTGTGGAACGTGCCCATGGCACCCTTAAAGCTCAATTGGAAGAAACAAAAAAGGGGGAATTATATCCCCGGTCACCACAGAACCATTTAAATCATATCTTATTTGCAGCCAAAACTGCATCTGATATATTAAATCAGATAAAAGACATGTGCAAAGAACCCCTGAATAGTCTCTGGCACGCTGTCATGCCTCTCTTAACCCTAAGCATTTTATGTGTTGTATTGCTGTTACTAGGGCCTTGTGTCCTTCGCAGCATGTGGAAACTCATCCAACAAGCTTTAAGAGACTTGCATTATTTGAAATTGCAGATGGCCCCCCCACTTGTAAATCATAAGTTCTAAAGTCAAGTGTGATAGCCAATGATGGGTAAGATATGGTTGAATTATAAATACTAACCTAAGACAGGAAGTGGTCGACAGAGGACTATAGCCCCATGACGGGTAAGGATTTACTTCAACCATACAACCTAAGACAGGCACATACCTTGACCCAGTCTGAGTCGAGCTAGTTGTTTTATTAAACAAAAAAAGGGGGAGATGTTGGGACCCGTGCCTAACCAGCCAGAGCAGTGAGTCATCTCTGACCTCTCACAAGCTGCAACCGCACTCAAGGCCGTTCCTCCATTCCCAGAAATGTCCTGTGTTTTCAGAGTGTACCCGGAATCCACCTAACAGAGCTTCCTTATGCTTTGATGTAGAATCTCACCCCCGGAGAGGCTGGAGGGTATAAGAACGGTATGAGAAGAGGCGAGGGGGAGAAAGGTAGAAGTAGAGGCAAAGTTAGATATAGATTAGAGCTTGCTTGCTTGCTTATGCTGTAATGCTGAATAAATAAAGACCTTGAGTGAACTATCAGTCCCAGCCTGCCTTTTGTCCTAACCCGCGCGCTGCTGGATGGCACAATTTAATACTGTGGGTAACTGGTGAACCACCGTGTTGTATACTTGAAACTAATATAACATTGGGTATCAACTATTCTTCAATAAAAAGAAAGAAAAACTGAGAAGCAAACACAAATCTTAGTACCACAGCCACTATCAAGTGAAAGCTACTAGGAAAAAATAAGCTGGAGAGTGTCTCTGGGTCATAGTCTGAATTTAGCTTCATAGAGGTTTTTCAAGAGCCCTTATGGGGCAGTCAGTGGGCAAGGCCATTGACAGAGTCTTAGGAATAACAGGGCTTCCCACAGTTGTGCCTTTCATGCATGCCCAAGTACAGGTTACACAGTAGGAATATGATCAATAGAAATGGACTACTCTGTATATTCTATTTCAAAGCTTACCGTTAGCTCTCAGGAACTGGCAAATCAGAATATTTCTTGTGGTAAAGTGGGTGTCCTCAGCTGATCCTGGCTGTAGGGAATGGAGAGGAGGGGAGAAACTTCATTAGGACATGACCAAGCTCAGTCAAATACAGACAAGAATCTGAGCCAGGCTTGCCTGAGAATATTTTCCTCCAGATAATGAGAATATGATGACTGAAGATAGCTTGATGATAACACTCCTCACTGTACCTGTCTCAAGTCATACCACTTCAGTTTGAATTAGTTCATCTCTTCATCATATTTACATCTTCTGTGATGTTCTCTTGATCTCTTTCCTGTGTTGGATCCTCTGCATTTGTATGCCAGGTTTTCCCATCTCTTGGTTTATTCTTTCATGTTTGTGAAGCACATCATCAGTAGCTTCTTGGATGCCTGGCTGTAAGTTTTTAGACCTTTAATCTCAAAAAATATCTTTATTTCATTCTAATAATTTATTGGTAGTTTGGCAGGGTATGAAATTCTAGCATGGAAATCCTTTCCTCTTAGAGTTTTGAAAACATTGCTTCATTGGGTTTTAGTTTCCCCTCTTGCTGTTGGTAACCTAAAACCAGACTGACTCTTGATACATTGATTGTGACTCCCTCCCCCCACCAAAAAGTTCATAATATATTCTCTTTATTCCAGTGTGAATAAAATGAGAGTTTCTGTGGCCAGGATTCTCACCTGGCCCTAGTTGACTAGCTCACTGCACACCTGTTGGCTGTTGACTCTATATAAGGAGCTCCACCCAATGCTCTGGGCAGGACATGGTGGCATAGCTGCAAGGCTGCAGGAGAGCAGAGCAGAGGCTGGAGTGGTGACAGCACCAAGGAGAGAGGCCCAGAGGACAGCTGTCCAGGAAGGCTGTGCAGAGAGACCCAGAGGATGGTTGTGTGGGATGGCTATATAGATAGAGAGGCCCAGAGGATGGCTGTGCAGACATATGGGCCCAGAGGCAGAGAGAGCAGCTTGCTGCATGCAGACCCACTCTGAGTGAATAGGATTCTAGTGACTGACCTGCCACCTGGAAATAAAGCTGGGTATAACACTTTCACCCCAAGAACATATTGCTGTCAATTTCTTTGGTCACATTGAATCCATAGCAAACTTTCCCAGGGATGAAACCCGTTGGCAAGACCATTGGTGAAAGTTGGCAGCGTTCATTGTTGTCCAAGGAAAAAGACAGGCTGCCCTTATGGAAGGGGTGCTTCATCAGGCTGCCCCTCTGAAGGGGGAAACAGTGGATCATCCTCCAATGGGTATATGGTCTCAGGTGGCTTGCCTCCTAGAGAACTGGGCCCCACCCCAGGAGTGGAGGCAAGTGAAGGTGACACCTGAGGCTGTCGGGGGTCCCTTGGTATAATAAATAGATCCTTTGAGAAGCAGACTTCCTGTGAGGCAGCGAGGACTGTGGGTTGGCTGCTTCCCACAGTATTAAAAACGTCTACAGAGGAGACCCAAGAAATGGTGTCACAAGAACAAGAGCTGCAAACTTCTGTGTATTCCCTGAGGAAAGAGATGGCATTGATGTGAGAGGAGGCAGCATGACAGTGCCAGCAGGAAGATGCCATTGGAGATGAGATGGCAGCACTGCCAGTTGTTCTGAAGGATGAAGAGGCCATCAAGGAAAAAGACGAACTCCTGAAGGAAGCACAGGTGGAGGTGGCATGAGAACATCAGTTGTGAAGCATTGAGCTGAAGGTAAAAGGCCTTCTGAAGACTGAGCTGGCTTTATGAGGCACTGTAACAGAGGAGGCACTTGGGGGAGTGGAGCAAAAGGTGCCATCAGCCCCAGAAATGGAGGAGCTAGGGAAGAATGAAGGGGTGGTGCTGGAGGCACTGGCCCCTTCTGTATTGAAAGCAAGCCCAGTGGTTGTAAAGAAAATAAATACCCAGCAACTGAAAGTTCCCCAAGGAGAGGAGCAGCCCCCTCCCCAGGTCGTGGAGCACTCTCTGGCCCACCTTTATACTCAGGCTGAGCCAGTGGCTGTGGGACTTAGGGGTGGATGGAATTGTTCTGTCAGGATCAGAGATGGGAAAGCTGTCTTCCCTGACAGTGAAGCCCACCTTGAGGCAGTGATTACAAAATGTGAGGTGACATGTACACTAGCTGAAGCAATGAGAACCCAGAAGGAAATAATACTTATTACTCACAGGAGGAATTTGAGGGGCCCCATGAAGGTTATAAGGATCCAGATGTGGATTAATTTGATATGGGCATGAGTAGATGGAAGGAAATTAGATGGGAAGCCAAACAGTATCTTACTGGAGCTATGGCAACAACTGAAACCAGAGCAGAAGTTCCAGCCATTAAGACCAAAGAGGCAGAGGTCAGAGACAGAGCCACGAGTCCAGCCTGTGTGTCTGCAAGACTTTTTGCTGGAGAGGATGGAAAACAATATTTGAGCTTCCTTGCACAGGGATCATTGCAGAGAACCAAGGGCACATAGTTTGAGAGGAGAGAATCCTGGAGGGGTGGAGTGTGGATAAAATGAGAGTTCCTGTGACCAGGATTCTCACCTGGCTGTGGTTGACTAACTCACTGCACACCTGTGGGCAATACATGGCTGTTGACTCTATATTAAGAGCTCCACCCAGTGCTCTGGGTGTGGCATGGTGGCATGGCTGCAAGGCTGCAGGAGAGCAGAGGCTGGAGTGGTGGCAGCACTGAGGACAGAGGCCCAAAGGATGGCTTTGCAGGCAGAGAAGCCCAGGGGATGGCTGTGCAGGTATAGAAGCCCCGAGACAGAGACTGGCATGCTGCATGCAGACTCACTCTGAGTGAATGGGATTCTAGTGATTGACCTGACACTGTGGGAATAAAGATGGGTAAAACCCTTTCACCCTGTGGGGAAGTTGGGGTTCCTATGGCCAGGATCCTTACTGAACTTAAACCATCTAATGATGTAACTTGCCTGTTGCCAGGCTGCTACTTCCATACCTGTACGCAATAAGCTATTATTGTGCTATATAGAGAGCTCGGCCCAGTGCTCTGGGCAGAGGCAGAGACATGAGTATTCGACCTACCTCCGGAGAACAAGCCAGGTAATAAACACTTTCACCCCAAGAACGTTTTGCTGTCAATTCCTTTGGTCACACTGAATCCATAGTGAACTTCCCCGGGGCTGAAACCCATTGGCAAGAAAATTGGCAAAAGTCAGCAGGATTCACAGTTGACCAAGGGAAAAGACAGGCTGCCCTTAGGGTAGCGGTACTTCAGCGGGTTGCCCCTGTGAATGGAGAGACAGTGGATCATCCCCCAATGGGTATGTGGCCTGCGGTGGCTTGCCTCCTAGAGAACTGGGCCCCATCCCAGGACTGGAGGCAAGTGGAGTGACACCTGAGGCTGTAGGGGTGGCTCTCGGAATAGTAAGCAGATCCTTTGAGAAGCAGAGTGCCCCTGAGGCAGCGGGGACTGCGGGTTGGCTGCTTCTCACAGTCTTAAAAAGGTCTACAGAGGAGACCCAAGAAATGGCAGCACGAGAACACGAGCTGCAAACTTCAGTAGATTCCCTGAGGAGGGAAGTGGCATTGTTGCAAGACGCAGCATGAGAAAATGAGCTGCAGACTTCTGTGGATGCCCTGAGGAGAGAAATGGTATTGATGCGGGAGGAGGTGGCATGAGAATGCGAGCTGCAAACCTCTGTGGATTCCCTGAGGAAGGAGATGGCCTTGATGCGGGAGGAGGTGGCACAAGAGTGCCGGCAGCAAGGTGCCATTGGAGATGAGACGGCAGCACTGCCAGGTGTTCTGAAGGAGGAAGAGTCCATCAAGGAAAAAGATGAACTCCTGAGGGAAGCACAGGTGGACGTGGCACGAGAACATCACCTGCGAAGCACTGAGCTGAAGGTAAGAGAGCTGCTGAAGACTGAGCTAGCATTGCTGCGAGGCACAGTAGAAAAGGTAAAGGTTGTAGCAGAGGAGGCACTCAGGGGAGGGGAGAGAAAGGTGCCATCAGCCTCAGAAATGGAGGAGCTGGGGAAGGATGAAGGGGTGGTGCCGGAGGCACTGGTGCCTCCTGTATTGAAAGCACGCCCAGTGGTTGTAAAGAAAATAAAGACCCAGCAGCTGAAAGTTCCCCAAGAAGAGGAGCAGCCCCCTCCCCAGGTCATGGAGCACTCTATGTTCCGCCCCTATACTCAGGCTGAGCTGGTGAATTTGGTCTACCGGTTTAGGCAGAAGCCCTCAGAGTCAATATCAGCTTGGCTCCTGCATCTTTGGGAGTTAGGGGTGGATGGGATTTTTCTGTCAGGGTCAGAGATGGGAAAGCTGTCTTCCCTGACAGTGTAGCCTGCCTTGAGGCACAAATTTCAAAATGCACTTCAGACCCCAGGGAGTCACTCCCTCCTCAATTAGTTTATGGCTGAACTTCGTGCTGTGTGGCCCAATCTGGGTGATCTACTGTCCTCTCCCATTAGATGGCAGACATATGCTGAGCTCCAACAGGTGCTATGAGAGCTAGGCATAAGAAATGCCATCTATAGTCCAGAGAATTTTAGCCCAGATGACGAGATTTTCACTACTGGAATGAGAAATACCGTACTTC